TGCAAGCATCCACCGTCAAATGTGATCAAGAAGTAGCTTGGGAGCTGATATGGCTCTCCAGCCGTCCTGGCGAAGCTACAGTTTCTCCCGCTGTGCGCCTGGACTGACAAATCTGTTTAGGTGTCGGGGTGTGGACCCCTCGAGTTGATATTGATGTAGAACTGGTGCGCAGCATCTTGAGATAGCGTGTCTCGCGCGACATACGGCATCATACCTCATACCTGTGTGCCTTCGTTCCGCATGTTTTCTCTTGCCATGCTGCGCAACGGGTACAGGCTTGCGTACCCGGGAGAAAAAGGGAAGAGCACCCCATCATCAGGCATGGAATCATCAGGCTCCGCCAGAGCCGCAAAGTTAGCCAAGCAGCCGAATCCGAGTCTCGGCCCAAGTGCCGACATCGGCACCTGTTGCTGCAACTTGCAGCTATAGCAGAACATCGAAGCTTTAAATGGCTACATAGCCTGGCAGAGTGGAGTGCAGCGATGCCAGGGAACGAGCCAAAGTCGACCGACCAGGCTTGGGAAGCTGCCCTTGGAGTTCACACGGGAGGCTCCGTTGCTTTGGCAGTGGCCAAGCTTCAGGATCCCGTTTTCTGAGAAAAGCAGACATTGTAACATATTGTAACATATTGTAACATTGCTGCTCCCCCAGCTTGCACCTGATTTTGCAGGATCCCGCGATGAGGCGCCTCTACCAGGAGGTCGATGAGCTGGAAGCCCGCTTGGGATTGCACGGCGAGCGCCAGATTCGAGAGTGTCGAATGGCTGCACGATGCGAAGCTGATACCATGAAAGCCCAAGCCTCTGCAGAGCTGACGGAGGCACACAACGAAGTCGAAGCTCTGCAAACACAGGTTCTCGAGCATGAGCAGTCTCTCAAGAGGAACAGCCGCCGATTTATGGAGATCCAGCGTCAGCTCAAAAAAATCAGGATGCCAGCCAAGCAAGAACACAAGCGGCTTGCCGACCGGGAGCATGAAGAGATGGAAGAGACCGTTGCCGCAACGATCGAGTTGGAGGTCTGCCTGCAGGAGCAGCATGAGGAGCAGCGCAGAATCTTGCAGCGAGAGCTCGAGCAGCGTGACGTGGTGAACCTGCCTTGTCTTGAGCACAGATAATTGATAATTGACTTGAAGCTGTTTAGGCAGTTTTGGCCGGCCCGAGAAGAATTTACTTAGATTGCATTGGGCATGCCTCTGTGCAGCTTGGCTCGATGAAAGCAAAACTCCCTACAAATACAGCATGGATGTAGGTCTGCCATTGCGGGTTGCAGGCGGCACCGCACCCCCATGCGCTGCCCCAACAAAGAGCAGGCGCGCAAGCTGGCAGCGACGGCAGCAACGTCGGCAACACCGCATTTGCAGCTCCATCTGCTCGGCAGCCCTGTGCGCATGCGTCCAGAGAGTGTGCCTCGAGAAACGGAGAAGATGGACAACGCAGCGGATGCCAGTGAGAATATCACGCAGAGCATCCAGAAGCTCAGGGAACTCAGACCAGGAGCACGACCAGGATAAACACGACCAAGGCCCAGACCTGCATCATGACGACTCTGCAATGTATTCCAAGAGCTTCTGCAGGGACAAAGCTTTACGACAGAAACGTCCGAAATCTGAGCAACGCGGTGGAAAGGACATCCTGTCCGCGACAGCCTATGCTGGCTTCATTGCCTCTCCATTTCAGGCCTGGATGGACAAGCTGTCTCTCGAGTGCCCGGATGACTCGCGTTGTGCGGCAATGAAGGACGGCGTGGAGAAGTCATTGGCATCCCGCGGAGTACTTATTGAAGACAAGCTTCTCAAATGGTTCAATCGCAGGCCCTCACGTTGGAGCCTCAAAGACCTCAGTGGAGTTGTCTCCAAGATCAGAGCTGATGCCAGTGGCAAAGGCCTTCAGGGGATCGAACGGTATCAAGCCTGTGCTGACCAGACGCTGCAGACACTTGAGGGGCTAAAGACTCCGGGTGCCAAGGTGCTCTACCAGGCACCTGTGTATGATTCTTGCCTTGGTTTTTTTGGAATAGTGGATTTCCTCATACAGAATAAAGAGGGAGACTTTGCGATTTGGGACACAAAGCTAGCTACGCACCCCTCTGCCTACCACATAGCTCAACTGGTCGGGTATGCAGTTGCGCTGGAGTCGATGCTTGGCTCCAAAGGCAAGGTGAAAAAGGTTGGACTGGTACTGGGAGAGCAGGCTGCAGAGCATGGTGCAATAAGTGAAGTCAGCGTCAGTGGACTGAGAAGCTATTTCCGTGAGTCATGGTGGGCATTTCAAAAGTTCCACAACACCTTCGATCCCAACCACCCGCCAGATCCAGCTGAAGAGCCCAAAGCAAATCTTGGCCGATGGGCCCCAGCAGCAGAAAAGCTTTTTTCCCTGAAAGACGATCCAGCTCTTATTGCAAGCATGACTCGCTCTCAGCGAGCAGCTCTGAAAGTGGCAGGATACGATTCAATGACCAGCATCGCCCAATTGCCATCCAATACTGACGGTGTCGCCAAAGTGGCTGCCGTCACAGGCATCAAGTCCAAAACGCTGGAAAGGCTTCATTTGCAGGCCTCTCTACAGTGCCAAACAAGGGATATGGATAGTGAAACACCTGCTTCTCAACTTCTGCCAGATGCAGCTCACGTTCTTGCGGCACTGCCTGCAGATGATCCTGGGGATGTGTTTATTGACTTCGAAAGCCTGCCATGGAACAAACCGCCGGCTGCCTGCGAGTACTTGATTGGACTTAGCACACGTGATGGAACCTACCATGACTGGTGGTCGCACACACACGACGACGAGCAGCAGAACACGCGCCAAGTCCTCGACTTTTTTGTCGACCGCCTTGAGCGATTCCCCAAAATGCATGCTTACTGTTATGGCCATTACGAGAGGAGCGCGTTCTTGCGCTTGGCCGTCGGGCTTCCTCAGAAGTACCAGGAATTAGTCGAATATTTTGTCAACTCCATTCTGGTAGACCTCTATCCTATTGTCAAAGGCTCCTTGGTGCTGGGCCTTCCGGGCTATGGACTTAAGCAGGTGGAGAAGATGTTCAGGAAACTTGCTGAACTTCAAAGCTTGATAAAGGTTGCAGCCTTACAGGTATGGGTACGGAGCTAGGCTCTCGAGTCGGATAGGCTCACGGCGCGCTTTGCAAATGCTGTGTCGAAACAAGGACAGCGCGGACATGTGCCGTTGCTGCGGCAGAGGACTCAATGGTCGCATATATGCGCTGGCTGGATGAGCCTGATGGCAGCACCAGCTCCACATCCGCAACGCTGAGCAACCTGGGTCCATGATGCGTCAGGCGTTAAATTATGGCTTGGTTTCAATGCTGCAGCCTGAAGCATGAACTCTTTTCTGTGTTTCATAGTTTTTCATTCTTGCAATCACTGTGCTGGCCTTGTACATAAGGGCAGATTCGCGAATACAACTATGAAGACTGCCTGTCTACGCAGCAGCTCTTGACCTGGCTTCTTGGCACTGGTATGATTCTCCACTTACTCGGCTTCATGGACACCAAATCTCGCCGTTTCTAATCAGACTGCTCGTAGGGCGCACAGCTGCGAGCCGCTGTGTGGCGAGCGGGAGTCGTTCGGTCATGATTTGATTCGAGTGCCTTGTGCGTGCTCGCCACCAAGGCTTCGTGAAAGATGTGTCGCTTGGCAATGCTTGGCAGCTCACAAGGACAACTGCTTTGAACAACTCTTTTTTAGATGGCTCAGGCGAAACAGCCTTTTCAACCTTAGCAAGTGGGTTGCAGTTGTCGACCCCAGGCCGAGGTGCATGTTGAAGGAAGAGAGACTCGGCCAAGTCGGAGCTGCTTAGCATTTCATTAGCAATCGTACTGCAATCGTTACCAATTATTAATAATTCTTAGCTTCAGTGCTTCGTATACTGAACGTTTGCTGGTTTCAGCAGTTCAGCAGAGTGCATGGAAGCGCTTGTGGGATTTGGCAGCGGTGCATCAGGTTCCAGGCAGGGAAAGAAGAAGACCGTCCAGGAGGAGATGTCAAAAGCTGTGGTCCTTCGGCCTTTAGCATCTGAGAATTGGCGAAGTTCGGCCTAGCAACGATTCTGGTATGGTGGTATGAGAGCAGGCGTGTCGTGATTGTCAGTTTTCCCTGACATTTCGTGCGTACGCATCCCGGGTGGACCGTCAAACATTCCAAAGCAAAATCAAAGCAGCCATCACCTGGTTTGGGATTTAGTGAGTTTTGTGTCGTAGGACGTCGTACCCTAATGACCAATTGGCCAAGCATTTCTTCTGATCCGGTTGTGGTTGCGTTCGACAGCTGAAGCTGCTTGCTTTTTCGCGTTGGCCCTCTTCGTTTTGACATTTCATGTTTTTTGACTGGCTCCTTCGTCTGACGTCTTCGTGCGTTGCGATTCGAACCTTTGAACACGACCCATTGACAATTGTTGTTGCGTCTGTGGCATTTTTGGCTTTTGGTGTTTTCTGACTCGGCCTCTACGTTACTGAATCATCCCAGCGCAGCTTCCCGTTTTCTGACTGAAGCCTTACTTTCTTTTTTCATCGGCATTTTCTGATGCGGCCTTCAGCCGCTTAAAGTCCTTCCCCCATCTCCTCTCTTAAAAGGGACAGGTTTGCCGCACATTTTTCTGGGATCCTGAACGTTTGCGCAAAGCTGGCCATCGCAGAGATGTGCGAGGGCGACATCACAAACCGACATGAAAATCGATGAACAAGTGTTACTCAACCTGTTTACATATATATATATATAAGGTATAGTTTCTCCGGAACCTTTATTCTGTAGATGACAGTGTTTGAACGATTTGGAGATCACTTTTTCTTTACTTGCAGCACTTGTGTGCTCCTGCCTGGCTGAAGTGTGCATTAAGTTCCCTCAACAAGTTTACTTTGCCTGGGGTCCTTACTATGACATATGTCCTTGTGATGCGCCTCATTGCCTTCGATGGCTCAGCATGGCTTAGCTCCATGCGTGCAAGGGTCATGCGACTCCTGCCTTGCTGCCGTGTGTACATGCTGGAAATACAGCCCCTTGCCAATGCCTGTTCGAGCGCGTTTCCTATATGATATTTATGACGAAAATATTGCCGCCCACCACGTAGCTCCTAGGTGTAGCATGCCCCGCCTCGAAATATCAGGATGTAATTTCTAGTTGTTCTGACGTTTGGCACCGTCCTAAAGATAACATCCAAAGGATGACCCCTTCGGCACCAAACTAGTAATTCATGTTCTCGCATCTTGCGTAGGCACGGCTGTGTGAAAGACCATGCAATTTCCCAACTTCTAAAGTGGTGTCAGCGAGTTAAATAGTCGTCATCAACGCAGGTCAATTGCACATGCTGCGGTTTAAGACTTTTTTTGCTCGTGCTGAGGCAGATTTCAGAAAGGCGGCGGCTGCAAGATGTCAAATGTTGGAAAGCGAGCCTTGACATCGGCCCAGATGGAAAAAACAGATGCATTCGTGGCTTGAGAAGCTTGTGTGCTTGGGCTATCTTGGGCTGCAACGTTGTCCTTGGCCTACTGGTCTTGCGGAAACTCTTGGCATTCCTCCCCCCCGCGCCAGGTTCATGCAGAGCTGCGGAGAAGCGTGTAGCTTGGACACAGTTCGTAGCGTCGGTGGCACATCAGAACCAAGCTCTGGAGGCTTGCTTGAGGCCGAGGAGAGAGAGCGCAAGGTTTCTCAAGAAGCCCAGGAGCCAGCTTTGATCGCCTGAAGAACACAACGAAACATGATTGGCTTTTCGGCTTTGTGTTTTTCAGGACAGGTCTTCCCTGGAAACCTCGACCTCGGAGCTCCAAGATCAGCATGCCTCACAGAATCCATGAATTGATCGGATTCGTACCCGGCTTCAACACATCTGAGGCTAGAGTTTTGCCGTGCATGGACCGAAGATCTCGAGGCCACGGGTTAGAGTCAAAGTGGGGTGCAAGCTTTTCCAAAGCTGAGCATCTCCGCATGGATTGAGTTGAATCGATGTTGATGTATGTCGACAAACGGTATGCAATTTCCCGGTGGTACAACTTTCCTGTGTTCAGGTAGGTGGAAGTTGTTGGGAAGCCCCAGCGTTGGGGGGTTGGGGAGGGGGGCAGTGGTGGGCAAGGGGAAGCATGCTTTGCCTCCTGGCGGCTTCAGCCAGTGTAATTCACTACGCAGGGCGGTTATCTCAGAAGCACTGTGACAGAATGGAGTCAGATCAAAGCTGAATCGAGCAATCGCCAGAGCAAATGGACAAGCGTTTCTCCTGCTTGCTGGGCAGCCTGAAATGCCTCGAGTCGTGTCAGTTCTACATTTTTCCGCCACAGCTCCAAAGGCGGAATCAGACCAAGCACCGCTTGCAATTGGGTGGAGCATTTCACTTCGATGGCAGGTCAACTGCAGGGTGCTATGTGCGATCAAGTATGATACATTTATACACACTCTCATGTTCACGGGCGGACTACACTAGCATCACTAGCATTATAATTGGCGGAAATGCATCTAGCACCTTCGAAACTTCGAGAGTTCTCGAAGACAATCAGCGTTGCCAGGCAGCCATGTCTTCCATGCAGTCGATCGTGAGCACAAACATGGAACAGCAGGAGGTCTCAGTGGGCGCGTGCAGTTTCTGAAGAGGATTGTCGTAGCAAGCACACAATGGCAGCCATGTGGATCGCATCGTGAAGACACGTGAAGATATAGGCTTCACGAGCTCAGCCAGCAGAACATGCGCTTGATTCAGGACACCGTTCTGAGTCATGCCCTGACGTATGTATGATAGCGCGAATTTTTGTTGCAGCACATCGCGAACTGTCTCTGATAGTATGTACATTGCTGTACCCGCGTACAAAACGAAAGGTCAACACACTCAAGGCAGCAATCCACAGCAGGGCCATGTCGAGAACTATCTGAAGTGATGGCCTATCTGAAGTGATGGCTCTGACATTGTAGCATGTTTCTTTAGATTCTCAAGGAAGCATGCATCTACGTGTAGATATGTGTAGACCATTGAAGATCCAAATCATTCCAACCATGCCCATCCTAGCAACCGCTCTAGGACACCTCTGTGGTCCACGAGCCAATCTGCCAAGCGCACGTCTTGAAGGCAAGCAGCGATTGTTGACATGGGCTCTTCGCTTGTCCAAGCCGAGACATGCTGTGCAGGATAGGCGAGAGCACTCCTCAGCGGAGCTGCACGAGCTCCTTCAGGTGCGCGATGCTGATAGCACGAAGACGTACGCTGCCATGCGCTGACACTCTAACTCTCTATCACGTTGAGCTCCATCTTGAGGATGGAAATGGGTGTGCATTGGATGAGCAGCTTCAAGAATCCGAGCAGCAGCGATTGAAGCTGGAGGCATAAGTCGGAGCGCGCTGAATGTTAGCTGAATGTTAGCTGAAAGTATCTGCAAGCATGGAGATCACGGAGCAATGCTAAGAGCTGGAGTTGGAAGGACACCATTGCTGCACTTAGACATGACGCACGGCAGCTCCAAAGTGCGATGACTATGCAAAGGCATCCGCATGCACATGCCAGCAGCCGTTCTGAGATGCAGTCGTTCTGAGATTCTTGTAGCTTGCATAAATCCGTGCATGTTCGCGCATGTTGAGTTAAAGTTTATGCAGTACCATGCAATACTATTCGGAATTGCCAGGTCAATGCAGGAGCTGCAAGACGAGTTTTCCACAGCTGTGCAACACCACGTGCCACGGCCGAGATGCCCCTGCAGAATAGCATAGAGGATCGACAAAGTCAATAAGGATCAAGCCAAAATTCCGTGTACAGCACCAAGGGACTGGCTTCATCCCATGTTGCCTCAGCTTTACTGTTACTGGGGGAAACCTCATGTTTCTTAAGAAAAAAAAGAAGAGTTTCGGTGATTTCCGGGCTTGAGGTGGTTTAACGAATCTCTCTGATCGAGGAGCCTTGAAAGGGAATATGTTTTTTCATTGGTCCTTATCAATTTTGTTGATCCCTCACCTACCGGAGAGTCCTGGCTGCACGTTGCATGAAGTTGAATGCTGTTCACGAATGATGTTGATGAGGAATCCATCACACGCAGGCGAAATGAACTTACATTGGAGGCCGGACCGGTCGCGAGATTGGAAAGGGAGAAGCTACTTGCTAGTTCATGGGTGGCTGCTCGTCTTGCCGTTCGGCCCACTTCCCTTCACTACTTGCTACCATGTTGATACCATAAACTGCGGAGTGGAATGCGATGAAGCTGGAGCAAATTAGCAAGTTGGAGCCTTTTTGCCGTGCAGCAATTGCTACAGAGACCATGGAACGTCAGGCGGCTTTGAGGCTAGGGCAAAGGCACAGGGGTGCACAGTCACGGCGGCGGCTTTCAGGGCAGTCAGGTTCTGGGAGAAGCTGAAGCTTGGATTCCGCCCTTGTGTTCCGACGCATTTGCTTTCTTTGTCAGATTCAACGATGGGGCCCGCTGCGAGCAAAAGCAGAGTCACAGGCACGGCATTTGTTTGGGCACGGTCGTTGCAGGAACACTGACAGCCTCAGACAGCACTAGAATTGCGCCGGTGCAGGACCATTCTTTTGGAGGTTTGCTTCGTCCGTCACCGTGCATTGAAAGGGCGGAGCAGCAAGTTCAAGGTCTTGAGTCTCCATCTTAGAGCGTCTCAGCAGCTCAGCATCATCTAGCATCACGCGAATGTTCTCGGCCAAAAATGGCCAAAATCATTCACTCCAGAGCGTTGCGCAAGGCAAGAAGTGCAACTTGCGGAGAAGGCGGGCCAGTCTCTCTTGTGTAATTGCCAGTCGAGGCATGCTGAGGCACTCATGATTCGCTGTTTGTCCTTGCAAGGTATGCAGAAGCTGCCTGTTGCCAGACGTACCCACGTAGAATATCCATGTTGGCATGCTTCGAAACACGGAGTCAAGAAGTAAGTACAACTAGAGGCAGGCAAGAAAGGCAGGGCAGAGTTCGGCAGATCTGCGAAAACGCACTGAGCGCCGTCATGTCCATAGAGCTGACAGCATCTGACATGCACTTTACTGCAACGCCGACAACACAAAACAGAAGACGCGTTGTCGCTGGCTCCAGTCAGGCACTCCTTGATGACCTTTCCGCCAAGCTTGCTGCCCGAGAAAGACGCGTCCATAACTTAGCTCGGACAGCCCACTCACCACGAACCACTGACACAGTAACACCAGCTACACTACAATGGAACGACGTACAGCGTCTTACCACTTGATTACTGGAAATGTTGGCAACTGATAAACTGACAACGGCATGTTCTCGGAAAAGATTCAGAACGTGTCTGTCAGGGCACTGGCCCAGCTGTGCGTCAGACCATGAATGGAAAGCAGGGTGATACACGATCAAGGTAGAGTCTTTCTACGGTTGCACATCCACATCGTGTGTCGTTTTCGTAGATCTAAGAGAATGTTTGCTGTCTTTTGCTGTTCCTCAATTACGCAGACCCTGCAGCATCTTCAGTACAACAAGCCCGAAAGGATCATTCTTGAGGGCATGGCCAAACGCGTGCCTGCATGTTGTTGCCTCCAGCTCATTTTGAGCTACTCAGGTGCAGTTTCTGGCACACAGGTGGCTTCAGCGGCGCCGGTGCCTCTTCGAAGTTTCGATTGAGCGTCTTAACGTTCTGGCCACGCCTGCGCGCCGAGGCTCGCCGGAAGACGCCTTCCGAGAGCCAAAAAGAGAAGCTCCGCGTGATGACATCAGCTGAAGATTTAAGCGTGAGACTTTTGAACCACTGGACCGGTCCTACTCAATGCAATCGCAGAAGCTCTCATGCATCTTGTTGGCTCCAACACCGCAAAGTTTGCAGCCCGCCAATTTAACGGGAGTTTTGGGAGGCGAGTTTGGCCGGAATTGGGAATTCGGGAGAATGGCGCTTGCCCCAGAGGTTCAGAACTTCACAAGTGCGAAATGCATTTGGAGCCATTCGAGCCATCATTTTCATGCTGCATCAAGTGAGGTCGATGCAGCCGAGGCCAGCTGCTCTGCACCACTTGCTACGACATGGGAACAAGGGCGCAAATCCGAAAAGCCGGAATACCATTAAAGCTGTATTGGTATTGCATAAGGCTGAATGTAGCCGCAAACGAACAGTGCTTAATCAATACCGCACGCGGAAGAAGGCAGGTGAATTGAACATGCTCGAACGACAGTGGCATAGGACCCGGCCGTTCAAGGCCACAACATGGGTGCGAAGGAAGAGAAAGCAGGGAAGCACAGACGAGTAATGCCAACACTTTCTGCGATCATGAACAAGGAAGCCTGCCTCTTCTGGAAAAACGAAAACGTGTGCTCTCAAAGAGACAAGCTGCACAAGGTGCAGGCATTGGAGGCTCTGGTCGGAAAGCTGAAGGAGGAGAAGCCGCCAAGCTCTGTTAAAATAATCATGCAGAACCTGAAGCTCGGCTCGGAAGGATCCATCTTTGATCTATGACCCCAAGCTGGCATTCTTCAAGGTCAGAATTTTGGGGTGCTGAGCTGCCGGACATTGCCAGCTTGCCAGTGTTGAAATGACTTCCAGGAGTTCGTTCTCAGCTGGGGCGCCAAGGCATTGTACTGGTGTTGCCTCATCTTGTCTCTGACGACTCTTCCTTCAACGCCTTGCGCAGGTCCCGGAAGCGAAGCCGAAGACACCCAGAAAGGAGGAGCCGAAGGTTTGCTGGACTGGTCGTGATTCGTGTCAAGACTAAGTTGGTGATCCCTGAGGCCCCAGAGCCTGTGCGACACTCAGCTGTGAAGCACGAGGTAATAAAATAAGTATCTCCATCACATCATCATCATCGTCGTCATCATCGTCATCATCATCATCATCATCATCACTAGAAACGCTTGAGAGTACGAGCAGGCTGCACCTGATGAGGATGAAGAGGAGGACACCAATTTCAGGCGTTCTCAGACGGCGCACGACATCTCCGACTTGAATATACAACCTGAGGAGGAGCCTGAAGAGCCCGACGACCCAGACCCAGAACGGCTGGACGAGGCACTGTGGCGCAGACTGTGTTAATGCGTTTCAACGCTGAAGCGGAACCGAAGCCTTAAATCATCTTGACCCCAGCCCGTGCAAGTCGCCATCGCTCACAGCTGCGGCAGCAGCGGCAGCGGCAGCGGCAGCAGAAGAGCAGCAGCAGCAGCAGCGGCAGCAGAAGAGCAGCAGCAGCAGCGGCAGCAGAAGAGCAGCAGCAGCAGCAGCAGCAGCAGCAGCAGCAGCAGCAGCAGCAGCAGCAGCAGCAGCAGCAGCAGCAGCAGCGGCGCCATGGATTGCTGTAGCCAGCAAAAGCACGCAACTGCACTCACGAAGGTCCGCGAGAGAACCACTTCGCGGGAGTGCTTCTTCATAGGGTTCACACGGCTTCACGCGCGTCTCCACCTCAGGCCGGTGGTGGCCGGTGGGCTCAAAGCTGCAATTGATGCAGAAGGATGTAGGTCCGCACGCGCCCGCGACCCCCCGAGCCCCCCACCGCCCGGCATTTGGGGCACCAGGGGGCGAAGCCACCGCCTCCCACTGCAAACACACTGTCTCCACCTACACCTTGAATCTCAACCCGGTCAGGTCGCTGGCGCCAGCAACGCACTATCAGTACAAAAAACCTGCGTGAGTTGAACAATTGAGCAGCGTTTTTTTTGCTACAAGCAAGGCCACATAGAGACGCCATTCTCGGAAATCGGCCGCCTAGCATTTTGCCTGCAGCGCGTAGGTCTGCGTAGGGTCCGCGTACGTGCAGTTGTATTTATAAATATAAATTCCGCGTAGGCGCGGCGTAGGCTCCGCGTAGCCCGCGCGTAGGCTTAGGTGTCGTTTTCAACATCGTAGCCCATCCATCAACATCCCAACTCGGGCTGGGTTGGGCAGGAAATCGGGCTTGGGCTGGAAATCGGGCAGAGTTGGGCAGAAATCTTAGGGTTTTGGGTTTAGGATTAGGGTTTAGGGCTAAACGCTGCGTTTGTGTTTGCTCTAGGGCTTGCCGCGTAGGTCCGCGTAGGATGTCAATGCTAGTATAACACCCCACACAATGAAATAAAAAAATGCTCAATTGTACCGGAAATCGCACAGATGCCTATAAACCCTAAGCCCTAATTCCTCCCTTTATCCGGGGTTTCACAGAACTTTAAAAGGAGACTGTGGAGTTGGGTGCCCTCTGTCCGAGCATGTTCGAGCATCCCCCCAAAGCATCGATGCCCTAACGATTTAACGCGCCTCTTGGACAGCACGAGTTCCACAGCTTGAGGAATCTGGAGGATTTCGGTGAAAACCTGCAGTCTCAACGGCTTCCTCAGCTGGCCGTTCTCAGAAAAGATCGATCTCCCTGAAAACTTAGTGCCTGTGTCACCTTGAAACCACCGTGGTCAGTCAAATTCCGCACGCAACACGAAACAAAACCTGCGCATCTTGACGGCTCATTCATATAGTTACCAGACTATCTTGGGGGCTCCTGCCAAAACCACAGCCCAACTACAGCCCAAAAACTGCCATGGGCTCCGGAGTGCTCCGAACCATAGGCCGCCATCGGGCCGTTGCCTTTGGTGACCGTCGGTGTGCCTTTTGCCAACTCCGTGTCGCGAAACTGTGAGGGCTGTCTTGAATCCGTCCGATTTTCTTACCAGCCTTAACTTAGACTGAGTCACTGAGACCGCTTCAGCGCAGGTATGATGGATCAAACTTGTATTTATCACAGGATCGAATTGCCACAGGAACTTTCATGCACACTTCGCGTTCGCGGGGTGAGTTGTCTGACCAACCATCTTCACTTCGGGGAGCATGTGCCTCAGGCTTCTCCCTAACAAGAAGAGCAGCCTCGGATGTTGGCAATAGAACTACAAGTACCACTGCACATGCTGGAAGTTATTGAGAGTTCAGCATTCGTGCCAGGATCCTGAGCCATATCCTACGCAAGGACCGTTTAGGCCTCAGGAGGCATACACCTTGACAGTATGCAGGGAATCTGCCAGATTATCGTGCAGATCATCCCACATGAGGTCGGATGACGTTGAACTCAGTGAAGCTCAGCTTGACAAACAGGGTGAGCTGAAGCAGGCAAGTGATTTGCTTGCTACTGTACAGTAGGCTACTAGGACAGTCACGTATGATAGTCAGTGCAGCGCAAGGCGGCAGCAGAGGCAATTGAGGACGGCAACCTGCCCAAGGCACTTGAGAAGCTGACCGAGGCGGCAGCGGGATGTGCCAGGATGGCCTCAATGGGATGAGAGACCGAGGGACACAACACTTTCTATCACTTTCTCCCAGGCTTTCCAAATTGGAAACGTTTCGGCGATGATGCCACGAGACCGCACAGCCTTGCAAACGTCTGACAAACATGTGCAAAACGGGTCCATGAAGCTCCATCCATCCTCAAAGGTATTCAAAGCGAGCTGAGCTTCTTTTGAAGCTCAAGAAGCCTTGTGCCTGTATAGCTTCAAGCTCAGATTCTCAAGAACTCAGACTTGCTCAGCCCTGCAAGTGAAAGGTGTAAAGATGTGTGACGCTCATGCAATGGAATGGCTCAGGCAGGCGTGCAGCATGTGAATCATGTGCCCTCTCGCAATTGACTTTTTGTATAAGGACGATATCTGCAAGCGTAGTTTGAAGGCATCTCTGACCATAGTATAACATTGTTTCCGGAAAATGTTCTCTGGTCGGGACGATACCTGTCACAAATGACTTTTTGCATGAGGACGATACCTGCGAGTGTACTTTGAAGGCGTCCTGTGCTTTCTGTTATTCTGTCATAATAACTGCTGTCACTCGCCATGGGTCAATGTGCTCCGTTTCTTTGTAGCCCGAGCTTGGACACGGGCGCGCCGAGCCTTGAATGCAGAATGTTGCTTCAATGCATCTTTGCAATGCAGCCAGGAGTGTTCATCTGTCTTGGTAGATTTTGCGGAACGCAAATGCAAACAACTTCCAAGGGCTGATGTGGCCCGGCAGTGCTCGTTTCGCTGTGAGGGGCGGAGGGGCCCGGAGGGGGCCGAAACTATCAAACCTAAACAAAAACCCTTGGCCATGAAACCCTAAACCACGCTAGCCGCTAAGCCCTACTGTAAACTTGACACCAGTAAAACGCCGAGCTTGACAAGCCAACAGCTTAAGATGCAGAGTACGAGACATGAGTCTAAAAGACATATGAATCCTCTCCGAACCGTCATGCATGTTTGCAAATGGGGAGGGAGGGGGTGGCTGCCCGCAGGTGGTTGCTTTTCTTGAAGCGGGTTTCTAATCGTTGGTAGAAAAGACATATGAATCCTCTCCGAACCGTCATGCATGTTTGCAAATGGGGAGGGAGGGGGTGGCTGCCCGCAGGTGGTTGCTTTTCTTGAAGCGGGTTTCTAATCGTTGGTAGTGGTAGCAGTTGTCGTAGATGTCGTCGCCGTGGTAGTCGTAGTCGTAGTCGTCGTCGTCGCCGTAGTAGTAGTATATAGTAGTATATAGTAGTAGTAGTAGTAGTAGTAGTAGTAGTAGTAGTCGTAGTCGTAGTCGTAGTCGTAGTCGTAGTAGTCGTAGTAGTCGTAGTAGTCGTAGTAGTCGTAGTAGTCGTAGTGGTAGTGGTAGTGGTAGTAGTAGTAGTAGTAGTAGTAGTAGTAGTAGGAGGAGGAGGAGGAGGAGGAGGAGGAGGAGCAGCCCCCCCCCCCTTCTATCCTTTGGCCCGACGAGTACGGCCCCCCATTGTTTGGACAAAAACCACCCTCCTCACCCTCTTGTTCGGAATGGCTAACCCCCACTGCTTTAAACTCCTGGAATTACAAATTTACCCATCACATTCCGGAGTGCTAGCCTGCTTTGTGAAGAACAGTCGCTGATGAAGAGGACTTGCGCTTAAAGCACACACACGACGAATCCTTTCCAAACCCATCATGCGAGATCACGCGAGCATTGTGTTTGCCGTTTGGGGGGGGGGGGGTGGGGGGCAGCCTCGCCCAAACCCCTTGCTTCATTTTCAAGCCGTGCAAGCTTGCCATGTGTTTAGAAGATCATGCCAGCGTCTAAACACATACCAATACCAATCCTTTCCAAACCCGCTGTGCGAGCATTGCGTTTGCAAATGGGGTCGGCAGCAGTCCTCCCCAGCCCCCCCACCCTCCACCCCCCAGCCCAAACAAAGAGAAACAAAGAACATGTTGTTGTTTTGGACAAGTAGAGGAACAGAGGAACATCGAAAGGAAAACAAAGAGAGGAATGGGACTTCCCCCTTGAAGAGAAGGGCTTCAAACAAGAAAGCAAAACAAACATCCCCACACCCCCCCCCCACCCCCCCTTTGAAAGGCTGGCTAGTGTCCCGAGGAACTACGATGGAGGCTCGCACATGGTGTCCAAGCAGCAGCTGGAGGAGGCATTGGCTCGCTTCAACGAGGTCGGGGCAACCTCCGTGCAGCCCCTTCCCCTCAGAAAGAAGTCTCTGATTGTTTTTGGTAACGAGTGTTTCTTTTCACAACGACTTTATGCCTCCGTGTGTCGCAGTTGCAATCCACTCAAGGTCGTTGCCCCTCGGCTGCGAAGCCTGGAAGCAGTCCTTCAGCATCGCCGCGGCCCTGCTCCGGGGTGTTCATCAGCACGTTCCCCGGGTGGTGAGGACCCCCCGTCTTTGCAGAATTTTGGAGGCAAAAAACTCACAACAGGTCAAGTACTTCAATGAACTAGTTATCTAAAATTCTCTTCCAAAAAATCAGTGATCCAATTTCATTATTTCATTATTTGCTTTGGTCGATTTTTGATGTAAGCCGACCAATCCATCATCGGAGCAAGAAAAGTATTTTACTTGACTTAATGTAAAATTCCATGCGGGGCGGGCAGTGCTGTGCTGGACTCAGGGAATTGATCAATTATTTGGATTAGTTGGCAGATTACTTTGTTGCATGTACTGATTGATAGTTCACCACATGTTTTTGACATATGCTAATTCACTATTCTTCATGCTCCATCATTTTCAATTTGTGTTTGTTGACTTCGCATCTGACTGATCTATTGCTGTTCCCTTTACAGGACTTGAATTTACCAAAACAATTAGCCCTTAGGAGGCACAGGGCATAGCCCGAAATAAAGACTTGCTGGGTTTGAAGAGTTGGGTGAGTGGGTCAATGGGTGTAAAGAGGTAAGCGAATTTATTGGATGTCTCGAAAATCGAGACTCTCAGCCGAAGGTTGAAGATTGAAAGTGCTCAGGAACTGTTGGACGAAATCTTCAATTCTGCTAAAAGCGCGTCCTGGGTTTCAAGATGCTCAACCGAAGATTGACAAATACTTTTGGGCTTTGGACGTCTTGAGCTTCCAGGCATAAATAAAGACATTCAGGGTTTCCAAAAGTCGTATCTTCGGCGCTGTGTTCAGAACCATCTGCTGGTATCTGTAACGCCGTGGCATCTTGATCATCAAGGTACTTAGTGGAAGATTAAAGATGGATGGGTCGAAAACTTGGATGCCTTGAGCGCCTTGAGTTGCTCAAAATGGAATCGAAGACGTAGGCAACCTTCAATTGTCGAATTCCCGTCTTGAAGCTCAGGACGTGGACATCCGCACATCCAAGATGTAGTGAATGTAGTCCGAGAGATTTCTGAGACTTTACAATCTTCGTTCCTCAACCTTCGACTTGCCGCTCGAGACGCTCAGATGCCGACATAGGGTATAAACATATTGAACAAATTAAAGTACGTAAAATGTATAAATGTGTGTATATCCGGTTGCGCGGTTCGCCAACCCCATCCCCGCCCTAGTTGGAATCCCTCCCATGGTATTCCCATGCAGCCACTACCTCATTCCGAAACCCTCAGGTCAAGGTCGCAAAAACTATCATGCACAAAAAACACGAAACCGAAACCAACACCAAAGTTTCTGCACCCAAAGACTTGCACAGCATCATCTTGAGAACACACAACAGAAGCAGAAAACCCAATACCCCGAACGACACGAAGCTAGGAATCATAATGAAAGCCTGCAAGCACTACAGACCCTAACGTCCTGAAAGCGTGAAAAGTCCTAAGAACATCAAGGACCTCAAAACACCCAAATCCATAAACACCCTAAAGCACCCTGACCCGAAAATCCCTGGAAACCCCCACACCCCGGAAAAAAAAAGTGGCGCAAACTCGAAGCCTTACCTAAACAACCTAAAGACACCAAACTCTAAACCCTAACATACCTACAAGCGTTTGAAAACTTTCAAACTCTCAAACTCTGACAACCTTCAAAAAGTCTAAAACCCCTGCAAGCCCTAAAGACGCGAGAAACACGAAAAGCTAATCAAACACCTGCCAAAACTTTGAACCCTTAACACCCGAAGAAACCTCAACCCTAAATCTGAAACCCTACCCCAAGGGCCCAAAAGCCATAACAAAGTTCAAAGCCTACACAGTCAAGCTGTGTAAACCACCCCCCCCCCCAAAAAAAAAACAAAATAAATGAAAAATAAATAAATAAAAGAAAGCAACCTCAACCCTCCACACGAACCCAGACTCTAAATTATTTTACTTCGAACTTCCCCACCTTGCTCCTCGTTAAAAGGAAAAAACGCAAATACGATGTTCAAACAAATACACATTGATTCAAATACGCTTTCTTAGTTTTTGAAATTGGGGTTGGGCACTCCAGGGAGACTCTTCGGTTGGCGAGGAGAAGAGGTCCGGGCGAGGAGAAGAATTGAGTTTAAAGGCCTAAAGACCCGAAAACACACGAAAAGGAAAATCCCAAAATCCAACCACCCCCCAAAAAGCCCCCAAAACCTACTCATCCCTCAAAGCCCTGAAGCCCTGCAAATCTTAACGCTGAAGCTAAAATCATATCCCTTAACACCCTTCTAACCCCGAGGACTCAAAACCACAAACATAGCTAAAATTCTACAAGACCCAAAACAATGAAGACAAAAGAGGCCCAGGGCGCTCAAGGAGTATTGATGCTTTTGGGTTTTAGGCTTTGAGGTTTGGGGTTTACGACGTGGGAGAGGGCGGGGAGGTAATTCCCTGACATTGGACATGTGACACGGAACCATTGCATATGGGCAACCCGCAGGAGCGTGGAGTTTGCGGAGGGCGAAGACTGCAAGCCTCACTACTCGAAGTTGTCTAGTGGAGGCCGAGGAGTTGTGGCAACAGTCTGCGTGAAGCTTTCCCAGAAGGAGGCCGAAACATCATGCAACACGAGCATTTCAAACATCCACGCTTCCTTGGTCCCCTCGAGTCTAATGCAAGATTGGATCCCGACCAAGGTCTACGGTGAGATCGCCACCAGATCTCGAATCGGCGCTTACGTGAGACTAGGATCAGAGGTCATCTTCGCACATCATGAACCACCAGCAGACCTAAGTACAAAGCCACTTCTTCTCGAAGTTTACGGCTTTGATTTTCCGGTGTTGCCAGAGACGATCAAGCTGCGGCGGCACCTGAAGCAAGTCCTGGGTCAGGAATACTCGAGAAAATCAGCAGCAGCATGGTATGAGAAGCACAAGGATGAGTTCTGCCCGCTCAAGGATTCTAAACTGCGACGAATCCTTGCATCCGTTTTTGAAGTGTACCTGAGACTGACTTGGCTTATGGTGTTAACAGGACTGATAAGGGGCTCAATAGTAATTTTCGCCTTGCTCACCGGTAAACTAGGCATGTAGGCTCGCACCGTCACGAACCAGATGCATTCTTCAGTTGTTACTAGGTTCCAAGTTGTTGCAGGCATTCGCTGATGTTCCTACCGGAGTGGGCCGTGAGCCGTGCGCTGTGGGGCATGCTCAACATTTGCACACTTTCGTGCCTTTGGCATGCAGTTATCAGTCAGTGCAGTGTACTCCGATGTGGGGGGGGACTTAAAAGACAGTTCTCCTCAAGCTCTGGCTAAAAATGTTCGTTTTGCACTTCTACGAAGGTACGTCGGCTTCGAATTTTGGGACGAAGGGAAGAATGGCATCAGAGTCACAGTGCAATCTAGCCCGCCTGCCGATCCAGATGACGTAGAATGCCTGCAGCTGCCTGGCAGTGGAAGCGTTTGTACTCCAAGTTTCTCCCACTTTTGACTTGTCTCTCCACTTTTGCAACGCCAGGCTTGCACTTGCATGTCAGGAATCATAAGCCGTCACACCTCACCTGCTAAAGCATTGAAGTTCTTGCGTGTTGCGCCGCAGAATGCAGACGCGACGAGAAGTTTACCATTCGTGAGTATCCAGCAGTCGAACAGCGAGATGTCAGAAAACTCAGTTTTCAGAGCTGTCAAGTTGTCTGTCGATAGCAACGCACCATGGCTTCACGTAATAGCGACTCGTGACTGCTTAACACCGTTCTTGAATTTTGAGAAGCAGTTTAGCAGCAGCCAGGAGAAAAGTTGGAGCTTCAATCCTTTACCATGCGAAATGTTTCGGATCTTGTTGCGAAGTCTCCAGAAAGTCCTGTCTCACCGGGCATGCGCTCGGCAAGGACACGTCACTGCATTGTTGACTGAGGAACGCGCGTGACCTTTTCCAGCTCCAGGCATCTGCGCCGGGCGACCGGCAAGTTGGTGAGCGGCTTTTCAAGTCGGTCCGCGGCTTGGAAGTTTGGAATAGTTTGGAGGCAGAAACTTGCAGGCTTTCGGGATGCAGACCTCGCTTACAAATGTAGGAATTTCGGAATCAGGGCTACAGCGTCGGGTCCATGAATTTTGGACGGGCATTGGGACATCCTGGGGCCAAGCCCGACGTGATTGCCAAGTTGACCCTTGGCAATATATTGGCAACCTCACAGTTTGATCGTTTTGATGCAGATTTGACACAACTTTGTATAAGGGTGTAGAAGGGTGACAAAGCGCAACGAGTCAGAATCTGCTCTGAGCAGCGGAGATCAGCACATAAGCATGCATGAGCAACCGTACCTGCAGCAGTTTCATACGCCAATGCTATTTGCCGGCAACTTTCCCCATTCCTCTAACATGGCTCTTGACAACCGAGTCGTCTTGCCGACCCGCGAGCAATTGTACTGTGAGTTTTCTCGTACTGCTTTTGGCAGGATACGCACTTGCACAATCCTAGGCTACAGGTGCTGCTACAGGTGCGCACATTTGCCAATGGGACGATGTTCGATTTGTTTGTACATAGCTTAGACTTGACGTGATGCAACTGGCAATTGGTCGGACTCGCTTATGTTTGCCATCTTTGTCTGTGTAAGACTCTGAACTTGCAATGACATTGACTCAACCCATGCGCGAAGGCCACAATTCTCAAGTACCTTCCAGCGACTGCTGGTGCACAAGTTTGGAGTTGTGAGCAAGTCTGCTTGTGAGGGCACCATATCTGACATGTGAGGTTTTCAGCGGCAAATCTGTGGGGACCAGCCAAATCAGGCTGGCAAAGCTCCCTGACTTGCAGTGGGTGTGCTCTAAAATGCTGCTGGAATTCAGTGGAAGATGAGCTCTCCAGTCCTTCTGGCCTCCCTACTTGGCAGAAAGATCACACGACAACTCATTTCCTCTAAATAAGCGGTTGTCGGGTGTGCGGATCCCAGACAGAATCAGCACCTTCAAGCCAGACAGCCAGACAGCTTAAAGGCACAGGACTTTTGCGAAACCCAGCGCCCTACTCCTGCTTCAGCGCGAACAGTGCGGAGCGGGTTGGGACACAATCACATAAATCACCACCAGTCCGTATCTAAGTGTGCTGCCAATTCGGTGCCGCAGCTCACTCTTGATCATCATGGGTCCACAATGATGCACGCTTGTCTCCATCTGTCTCCAGCTTGATTTCTTAAGGTTTTGATGACACCTGGCTATGCACCGACCGAAGAGATCATTTGGGTCAAGTAGCGGAAGAGCAAGGCTGAACGCGCAGAAATATGTAGAAGCAGTACATGACACTGCTGGACATTCAAGTGCCGTTCACGTGTGTTCACTTCCTTTCTCCAGCCTGTCAGGCCGAATAATTTGGATTACTCCTGGTGCGGGTCGAATTCCAACTACGCCGGAGCAGCGCGAGGGCGAAGTTCTTGCTCATGAGGTGCGACACGTACGCTTGGGGCCGTACTTCGCTTTGACCTAGACATCGCGTGGGGCCGTATGTAAGGAGTATCCAATGCTTTTGATCTCAGACCACAGAGAATGACATCATGAGCGCAGGCGGACTGCGCTTGTGTCAGCTATGAAGCGGACACAGCGACACCGAAGACGTGGCTGCGGCCCACCCTCATTCTGCTGGCAGTCACATGCCTTCTTCTCACTTTCCTGCGGGCCCTTTCGAGCCTCTTGGAATACTGAAAGGCTACTGTTCAAAACGTCATGAAGTAAAATGTAAAAAATGTATGGTGGAAAGCCCTTACACAAAAAGCAGTCTTGCATGAGCATGTGTCCCATAAACTTGCTGAGGTGTCTTGCAGGCTTACGGCCGACACTGAGCGATCACACCGAGGGAAAATCATTCTACTCCCAGACACGAGTCTTGAGTGGTTTGCCAAGAGTGCAGCGCATACGCGGCCACAACTACCACTCCAAGTGATCAAGTTTACTAGCTGGAGTGCGCAAGCCACTTAAGCATTTGCTTTCGATGCTTGAGGTGTGCAGACAAAAGATCTGCCCCCCGAATCCTCAGCGACATTTTTCTTGCGCTGCAGGCAGCAGGCCGAGCAGCTTTTGTAGAATGCTGCATTGACAGATGTCACAGCTACTTGTGGGGTTTTCACCGAAGGTTCGCTCGCAGCCGCCGCAAGTAAGCAACGTATACCATGTACACCGATGCACCTGGCAACGAACATCAACTAACTCTTTGTGCATCTATGATAGATCACAGCCTCATGGCTGGCTGCCGGAGCATGATAGACAGAACCGGGAACGCAGGGCCTTCTCAAGAAATGCCAAGCACTCGTCTCACTCAAGCTCATCAACGAGTCGACAGCTCGGGGCGCATAAGAAAAGGTCGATAGGTTGTCAAGAAGCCATCAGCTGTCTGCACCGGCGTCGAACAGAGATCTATTATTCTGTGGCCTTGCCGTTGTTGTCGCATGCTGTTGCATGATGTTGCAAGAGAACGCGTGAAAAGCAATGGCACGTTGGAGTTCCGAGGCGGATTGCAACGCAGCCCTCAAAAAGAATCCGGACAGCGGAAAAGCATACCGTGTGAGGGGCAAGGCCAGTACTTTTTGAAGTTTTGAGCGTCTACGTATCGTTGAATCGCATCGTCTCATGTAGGCGCACAGGCTCCTGGGCCATTGGGAGGAGGCGGGTCAGACAGCATGAGCAGCAGGCAAGCTTGACGTTGGCAGATGAATTTGTAATGAAGGCACATCAGGATCTTTCCGAAAGTCAGAAACTTGACTTCGACGACGACACTGTCGAGGTGCGATCTTCAGCAGTTCCCTTCGTGAAATTCTTGGAGACATGTTCAGACGTGGCCGGTGCCCTCAGTTGCAAAAGTTTGTGGACTCCAAGTACAAAAAGATTGCAGAGCGCAAGAACAAAGATAGGCATGCGGACTGTAGCAAGTCGTGCCTCATGGGCTGGTGGTGCACATACCTCAATGCTGCGCTGCACTAGCGCTTCACATCGTCGGAGAGGCTTCGAGCAGAGAAGCTCAAAGAGAAGGCTGAATGCACCATTTGATGCACTCGTTCTAATCAACACTATACCACCAGACTCGCCAGAAGCTTTTTGTGCCTTCAGTAAACTGTCAAGGCACGACAGCAGCTGACAGCACTTTGACTCAGGAGAGACGTCGAAGGAAAGAAGAGGTGCTTTTTTTGATACGATGCACAAAAGTTGGTTGGTACATGTTGGCATGTTCTTGATTGTCGTTTAGGCACAGAGGGCCTATGAGGAAGCAAAGAAGCAACCCTCGGGAGCAGGCCTGCCACTGCAGAGTTTGGCAAGAGTCTGCTTTGGAAATCGTGCAAAGTGAACATACACCCTGTGTTCTAACAGTTCTAACAAGGCTACGGAGGATTCCCTGGAGGCTTTCCAGGTGGCTTCCCAGGAGGTCCCGCGCGAGCGTACTGGGACAGACTAGCTCGAGCTTCGCCTGTGCCCGAGGCATGCCGGGCGGCATGCCCGGCGGCATGCCCGGCGGCATGCCGGGTGGCATGCCAGGTGGCATGCCCGGCATGCCAGGCAGCATGCTGTGTATCGACCCACCTCATGCATTTTCTTGCTGGACTGGATAGAGCTTCACTTCTTCTGCCAGGTTTAGATCCCAGCATGTTGAGCGGCATCATGAGTGACCCTGAGCTTATGCAGGCAAGTCATGTCATGTTATGTCATGAGTCATGTCCGTGCCAAAGTACTTTGCCGAACCGCCCCAGTGCGATGAGTGCAGGCTCTCTCGGATCCAAAAATGGCAGCGGCCATGCAGGATGGGTATATGAGCGATCCATACCCAAACAGCATCGGGTAGGAATACGAAGGATGTGCAATAATCCCATCGGCACATCTTGTCTCTGTCGCAAGTAAATAGCGGGAGGTCTGCGGAATAAGCTGAGGTTGCTATTAAGGCCAATTCCAAGCACCATCTAGTTGCGTTGCAACTCGAAGAATGCTCTGAGGGCAAATTGCGGGTGGGGGCACAGACGTCATCGCCCGTCATACTGTAGACACTTGTGGATTGCAACCATCATAGGCCATAGCCCATTGCATGTCACCAAACCTCCGAATCGACGTGCAGGACATCATGAGCAACCCTGGAAACATTGCGAAGTACCAGAGCGATCCTGAAGTCATGAGTCTCATAAACAAGGCCAGAGGTGCCCTGCACATGAAGTCATTGCACAATGCTGCGCCGCCTGCACAGGTGATGGGAGCATTCTCCAAATTTGGCGGGTTGCCCGGGTGATGTACACCTGTTCTGAATGCAGCACACCGCGCATTTGGAAGTGTATGTAGAACTCGCCACCTAGGTGGAGGTATGCCTGGAGGTATGCCTGGCGCCTCAGGAGGCATGTTTCAGCTCCGAGTAGCTTCTGCATGAAGCGTGTTAGGGGCTGTAGTAGATTCGCCTCCCGGGGATCCCTGTGCCTGTGCTCCCGATCCGCCTGCTCATGTGATGCTCGCCGCCCAAAGCACAAAATACTGATGAAACACTGTAGTCAACAGCGGTGAAAGGCAGTGCAAGCACAGAGCTAATTTGCATGAAGAACGAAGTCCACATTTGCCACTTGTCCTCACAATTTGGGGCGCGGGGTCTCCAACAAGCAAAACTTGTGAAAGCATAAAGAAAAGTCAAAGGAGCAAAGCACAGGCAAGAAGCAAGAGGCATGTGTTTTACATTGTAGATCGGTGTATGTACTGAGTGACTCAGCGTTCCTCACTTCGGCAGGCTACTCTTTTCGATTCTGCAATAGTTTTAGAATGTTTTTTGAAGAAGGACGGGGATGCGAGAAGTGAGAAAAGGCACCCCCCTTCTGAAACGTCTTTTCAGGAGGGCGGGAATAATTTGCGGCTGCTTTCGAACAGGAAGTGGCTCGGCCGGCACATCCACAGGACCGACAGTGGAGGAGGCGTGCAAGCCGCATTTTGAATCAGAAGACATGGAAGGACCTTGGCAGCTTCAGAAGACAGTGTGATTTCATGTGACTACCACGTGACGGCAAGCAAATGCAGGTTCCGGAAGCGACAAATGTTGATGAAGTCGATTGAGCTCTGCGCGCGCGTCTTCAAGAGGGAGATCGAACCAACAAAAGAATCCTCTCCAGTTGTCCCAGTTCTGGCCAAAAACTCGGTTGGACATGAACATGAAGGCAGGTCTGTACAAGCTTGTGGCCTGAAAGGTCACATTGCACAGAAACCTTTCAGCCGTTTAAGCTTGTTACATAGTGCTCGTGTTTCTGAGCCCAGTGTCAGCCCGGCAAACGGCCCGACCTACCGTCCTGTCAAGAATGACAGCGCGATTAAAGATTAAAGGTCCAGGGGGTTGTCCCTTCTGCGTAGCTTCAGCATCTCCACCATGTGCTTGCTTAGGATTTCGGATGGCATGGATGCGAGCATTCACAAAGTAAGGTAGATTATAACGAGGCATGGCCAGGACATGCCATCATTCGCGTATTCATGAGAATTTACTTGCTAGATGTGCTGGAATGACTAGAAGCTAGCACTGGTGAACCATCCAACTAGCACCTCAGCTCCCTGTTGGTGTGGCAGTCATTGGTATGTACAACTGTGTACCCATCAGTTCGCCGACAGATATCCGAAGTGAACAATATCTGAAAGGCTTTAGAAGGACGGCTCCCAGCACTAGACTCACTAGACTAGTGTCATTGAATCATAAGCTTGTGTGGCATGGGGCGATACGCCACTGGAGCCAAGCTACGGTCTGATGGGCGGCTTCTTTGTCTTCCAGAGATTTTGGAAGCAGCCGCAGCATGCAACCCAAGCGCTGGCTTCACCATCTATGAGGCCCAGTTTCTGCGCTATGTTCCACCGGCTGCCTTCAAGGTTTTGTTCGGAGAAAGGGGCAAAGGGTGTGGATGGGCTGATGCTGATGGGCTGGGCGACAGAAATGCATACAAAGGCAGCAACCAACAAGCAGTGCAGATGCGGGTCTGCCTGATCACCATGATTGTTCCCAGTAATCAACCAAGTAATGTCGCAGTGGAAGGATGCAGATGCAGAGGAATTCAAGACTCAGCTGGACAATGCTGTCAAATCCTAATGATGCTCATTCAGTCAGACGGCAGAACATACCCAGGCTAGTGTGCCACGAGAAAGGGCGTCAGGCTTGAACGTGGAGCTGTTGAGGCTTTAGCATTCGTAAGATCTCGTGAGCTAAGGGGGTTCATGGAAGCGGTAAAATCCCATTCTGCGTAGAGGGGGGGCGGGGGCAGGGCGACGATGAACAAACATTCCGGCAAAATCGCCACTTGGCAGTGCCGGCTAACCGGGAACCGTTTTGCCAATACAGCATGTCGACACTTCTCGCTTGGATACACTATCTGTGTACCGACAGGAGGCACACAGCTTCGCGGAGCTTGACGTGCACTTCCTGAGTTATCCAGCCCTGCTGGATCTTGCGAAGAGTCTTGCGAAACATATAGAGGAAGCTGCAGGAGCTGAGCAAGGTAAGGCTCATTATGAGGCCGGACATTCTGATTCTATGGTGTTGCTTGACCCAGACATGCCTCGGCGCTTCTTGATCATCGCCTTCTGGGCCTGCCTGCTGGCTGGGAAGAAGCCATGTCTGCTCACCGTATCCAAGACATGGGACTTGTCCAGAAGGCACGCATGGACGCGACAGATGTGGGAGCAGTTGCAGTGCCCTCCGGTGCTTTCTGAGCAACCGTGTTCCTTAATGGGTGTATGCCCCAGTTCTCGGATTTTGCTCTTTTCTTCTTGGTTCGAAGGAGAGAGAAACATAAGAGGCCATCCCTCTCAGCCACAGCCCGGCAAAGCAGACCGCGCAAGCATGGCTTCCGCCCAAGCCATTGCCTTCCATGCGGTCTCGCAAGAGGGTAGCATCTACAGCTACTCCAGCTGTTCCGTTTGGGCACATCTCCAAGCCGCAACATCAGAGGGCACCTCGAGCAGCCTGAGCTGGATGCCATTCGGGCTCCCAACAGTGCTGCTCTCCCATTGCGCAGCAGTCTATTCATTACGTTCGGAAGTTCACTTCTCTATGGACGGTGTAGCACAACCAGCTTCGCTGCTCGAAGTCATTGTGCGGCATCGTTTGCATGAAGTGAGCGCTCCAGTCATATTCTTCCGGCGTGCATTGGAGCCACTACGCTTGACATTGGCAAATAGTAGTATTTCTTCAACATGCATGAGTTGTTCACGTTTGCAAGGGCTGGACTGCGTCAGGCAGTGGACAGTGCTTTACGGCAGCGACTTTGACATGCTGTGTCGAACAAGGCCAGGGGAGCTAGAAGAATTTCAGATGTTGATCTTGCAGCTTTCAGAGAACTCACCCACGAGTCCTCCCAACTCACAAGCGCATTTTCGTGTCCAGCTGCTTGCTCCCTGGGGCACCGGTGTTGCTCATACTGGCCATTTTAGGCCTGCCGGTGGCACAGACTGCAGTCGCGTTTTCAAATTGTCGCCAGGCATCGAAGGACGTGTGTGTGATAACACGTGTGATAGCAAGGGCTCCATTCGCAAACTGGAAGTGCGTGGCTTGGCTACCTTGCCGGGTCTCCCGGATACTTCATGTGCTGCTCTTCGAGGTGGCTGGGTTTCAACAGGCCTCGGTGCGTCGCTGGAGCTCGATGCTGACGGTGATCATCAAATACATCTTGCCCCCATTGCAGGTGAAGTCTTTCGAGTCCTGGGAGGTGTGGAATACATGGCTGATGAACTGGAAGCAGCGCTTGAACTGGCATCAGAGGTGACGCCTGCTTCTGCCGTTGCTCTCAGTTTGCGACAGGAGAGAGGAAAGGGTGAAACTGTCACGTCTGCAACAATTGAGGATCAGCCACAGCTCCTGCTGTGCTTTACCCCAGCACGCACCTCTGCATCACAGGAAGCACGTCTTGTGAAAGCCCTTTCGGGCCATCTGGCTGTGACATTAGGTATTACCCCAAGGCTAGAGCCACTGCCAGCTGGCCAAATTCTTCGCAGCTTTGCTGGTAGGCCATTCAAAGTTGTCGAACGTGAAACATTCGCGGACAGTGCTTCTCCACATGCAGCTGGCTGCCAAGACCTGAGATTCCCCACGCAAAGCCCTGAAGAATTGCTTCCATCCGAGTGGGCCTTTGAAGAGGACTTCAAGCCTTATCGCCTCAATCCGAACAACGAGGTGAACGAGGAGGAGGAGGATGCTCTGGAAGAGCGTATGGAGGGCGTTGAGCACAACCAGCCTCTCCTTCAAGATCCTCAAAGTCCTCAACCTTCTGGGAAAGAGTCATTGGCTCTCGTTCTTGGCAACATGAACGAAGGGAATGAAGGAAATGAAGGGACTGCCTTCTCAGCAAGGCTGGCCACAGCGGTGTGTGCTCGTTTGAGCGTCGAGGGCTGGGTGGCCCATGCAGTTGATCTTGAGGAGGCTGTCGAAGCTGTAGAAGTGGTTCATCATAGGGAAGGTCCGAATGGTGGTCAGGATGCGCCGACCTTGTTGGTCCACTTGCTTCAAACTGATGCTTGGCCAGGTGAGGCCAATGATGTGGTGAGTTTGGTACAAATTCTGCAAGCTTGGGGCGTGGGTCCACGCAGTGGCCCTCAAGAGGCATCAGCGCTTCGCTCGCTTCATGTGTTGTGTGTATCGACTGGACGCTGCGCCCGCCTGTGTGGAGCATCATCGGACCCTCATAAGCATCTGCTCACGGGAGTGCTGCTCAGCGCTGCAGCTGAGCTGCCGTTGCGTGTATGTCATGTGGATGTGGCGCCAAGCATTGCAGAGACAGAGCACGCCTTGCAGGAGTCATCTCCAAGCCTGAAGCTTGCAGAGCTGCTTGCTCCAATCTCTAAAGGTCTGGTGACAGAGATGGGATTTCCTGCCGAGCTCCTGGTCGATGCTGATGGCAACCACCTTGCTCGCAGACTTCGGCCGATTACGCTGGAGGTGAGCCAAGCTGCACATGCTGCGCTGGAACCTCGCACGGTGCTGATGGCAGGCGGCGCAGGCGGTGTGGGAGCTCTTTGGGCACAGTTCCTGAAGGCAGAAACCTTAATTCTCCTCGGACGGTCCCATCCAGCAGGAAAGCCAAGAAAGACACTGGATCAGCTGAGGCATGTGGCATCTCAGGTCCTGTATATTCCTGTTGATGTAAGCGACAGGCGTTTGCTGTGGACAGCCTTGCAGAACTGTCCTGTAAAGGATGTGGATTTCGCCTGTAGCTTGTGCGAGTCCTTCGTGTCCTCGCCCCTGCGTGACTTAGATTCGACTTCCATGGATGGGCCACTGAGGAAGCTTCGTGGAGCCGAAAATGTTGTCTCAGTGTTGGCATCACTGTCACAGGGTCGAAAAGCCAAGAAGCAATTGCCCGTCCTGTTCACGTCCACGGCAGTGTCTGTGAACGGGGCTGCGCAGCTTGCGCAGTATGCCGCAGGTGCACGCGCTTTGGAGGCATTCTGTGCTCGGGAGCGGTGCCGACACCGCAATGTTTGCGATGTGCGTTGTGTGGCACTGTCGGCGTGGGATGGCGTTGGCATCACCGAAAAGTTCCCACTCTTGGCAACAGCTGCACCGGCAGCCGGCTTAAAGGTCTTATCAGCGCAGATGGGAGTTCTGGCACTCGAGGCGGTGTTTCAGCGCTTTACAGCACCCCGCTACGGAGACTTGGAGATGGTGCAAGTTATAATACAGTACTGCATTTTCTTTAATATTTCTCAACTCAGATTCCAGGATGTTCCTGGGCATGTGAAGGTAGTTTGGATGCTGTACTAAGTACTACCTTCCAAATCCCCATAATCCCCACAATGCTTGAGTCACACGGCGCGCAGTAGTATCAGACTGCATTAGCCTGTTCCACGCGACATGGTGTGTGCCGTGTCCGGAAAGTAGTATGGAGTATAGAGTAGTCAACGCGGTAGGATCCTGAAAGTACGTTCAAGTTTGGAGAGGTAGCGGTTGCAACGGCCATCGGTTCAGAGCATGATTGTGGTCTGAAACATCTGAGGACATACAGCACATGTAGAGTGAAAAATAGAGAGCTAAGGAGTGCTCACTGTTGGTATTGATGGATGCCATCCACGGTTTGCATCGCTCACTGGTGGAAAGCTCGGATCCAGTCCAGCTGTCAGTACCGCTTCGATACAAGGTTGCATTGAGATGGTGCAAGCAGCAGTGCGCAAGGTACTAGGACGCGATGCCCAGCTTGGAGACAGCTTTGTGGAAATTGGGTTGGATTCCATGTCGTCAATGTCTCTTCATGCTGCAATTTGCGAGTCTGTTGGTGCCCCGTCGCTGCCGACTAGCATATTCTATGATCATCCCACAGTACTTTCTGTGGCCAAGCTGGTGCATAAGCAGGCAAGGGCTACCGCAGATCAGCTCGGAGCAGACGCGGCCATGGACGATCATACTGACGACTCGCTACTGTCGCTGGAGTCGCTGGCCACTGGGATGGAAAGCATCGAGGCACGTCAGTCGTATTACTTGAGCCTCGCACGGGAAGCATTCCTGCAGAAGGATTTCCAGGAAGTCCGTCGCCAGTGCCAGCAGTGTTGGAGTCAGGGCCCAGTCATCGGGCTGGTCCAGGTTGCCGTGCTCCGTTTGGAGACCGAAGCCTGCGAGGGCTTGGGCCTTTTCGATGAGTGGCAACATGCTGCCGAGGCCAGAGTTTAACAGTCAGTTTACGTTCAGCTTATTGCAGTGCTGCACATAGGGTATAAGGAGATGCCAACGTTTTTGGCGCAGATATAGAACTTGAGCATGTTCCAAGACTGGCAACCAAACTTGCAAGACAAGTTCGAGAAGCCTCACTCGGAGTCTCGGGGGAGGTTTTTCCAAGTCGCCCAAATCCCAGAGACCTTCAGCTCCCCCAACGGAATTGGCAGCGTGTCTCCTGAGAGACGTGGATGAGCGGGTGGGTTGACTGCTGCGGGGGAAAAAGGGTTGGGTTAGAAAGGGTGAAGGAGACCAGAGCCTGGTATGCTTGGATGCCTTGTGGCCAGAGGCAGAGGCGAACTACATCCAGGGTGCAGGAAGGGGAGTGGGGCAGGCATGGACCAAGCGTTCAACAAATTGACTTTAGCAACATTTTTTCGGTGGAATCAGACTGCAAACTAACACCAGAATCAAGTCATGCAAAATGATGCCTCGCAGAGGCCACGGTTCGCGTTTGTGAAGAGACATTTGGACGCGACCATCCTGAGACAAGTATAGCCACTGTTAAGCTGTTCCAGCATGGCTTCCATGGCTTCACTGAGCACTCGGAAGCAAAGATGCTATCAAACTTATCACAGCCTCCGGGGACATCGGCCTTCCTAAGGGAAGTGCAAGCAACAATGCTTGATCGCCACTCTCGCTTTATGGCGGCCATTGCTTGGGTAGAAGCAGCAGGTTACGCTACACGCTTGATGACTCAGTCAGCGACCACTGCAACGTGGAGAGGTGCAGAGGCATTTTCGGAGAGGTTGCAGACTTTGAATTTAGATGGCCAGAAGCTGGGGAAGCTGGGTCAGGATGGTCAAGGCTTGGCTTTAGGCGCGCTTGGGCAGCTCCTGGCATTGGAGACCTTGATGCTCCGTCGAAATCAGCTCACCGAGGTACCACTCGAACTTGGCCAATTGGTGCGGCTTCGGGAGCTGTGGTTGACTCAAAACAATTTGTCTGAACTTCCCTCAAGTCTTGCCTATCTCTCCAGGCTTCAAGTGTTGGCTCTAGAGAGGAACCGATTTGCAAGACTCCCAAGCTGTATTTCCAAGATGCGACGGCTCCTGCAGCTGGGTTTAGATGAGCAGGAGACGCCGATGAAAGAGCTTGGCACAGTGCCAGCAGCGGTACTGTCCATTTTGCGAGGCCGCGGTTGTCAAGCTGCGCTTCCACTTCTGGCATGGGAGCGAGAGAAGCACGAGAAACCCAACCTGAATACTGTCTTTTGGGCCAACAACGGCCTCTCTACAGTGCCGCAGCTGCATGCGTTTTCGCAATCCCTACGTCTCTTGGACTTGGCTCACAACCAGATCACTACGATTGGAGATGAGATTTTTGAGCTTTGCAACCTTCGAGATCTCAGCCTGGCAGGAAACTTTCTGCAACAGCTGCCTTCATCGATCGGGAAAATGCGATCGTTGCAGCAACTCTGGTTACACGGAAACGATTTGTGCCAACTCCCAGAGGAGCTTGGAGACTTGGAGGCACTTGCGATACTGGAGCTGCACCACAACCGCTTGGAAAGTCTGCCAATGTCGTTCTCAAAGCTTCTGAAACTGAATTGGCTGTTTGCTCACGGGAACCTTCTCACAGATGCACGGCTCGTCAAGGTCTTGTCCTTGCTCCCAAGGATCAAGATCGTAGGTCTCGGTTCTAACCTCCTTCCGCTGAAAGACTTGGACTTCAGAAAGTTGGGAAGAGCCAGCTTCGGCCTGGCGTGGAATCCGGGAGTTGAAGCCAACCAATTCACAGAAGCATTGACTACCACTGACTTGCATTGGGACAGGATGGACCAAGAAAGCTTGTCAGACATTTTGGTGATAACCTTTTCGGCCCAGGGTGCCCCAGTGGCACAGGGCCAGGCCGAAGTGCGTTCTTTGCGCGATTCGTTTCTAAGAGTTGATGCGCTCTACGTGTGTGATCCCGCAAATGCCTGGTTCATGCAAGATCCGTCGCGACAGTGGAGAGGTTTGCCGAGCCTCGCTTGCAAGAAGCCTCAAAAGGCTTCCCTTGCTTGCTAAAGTCATCTAAAGTCTATGTATGATGACTATTCCGGACGCCTTGATGCTCCAGTGTGTCCTGTTCAAGCACTGTCTTTGTGCATGGATAGCAGATGTTGCTATGGTACTTTGCTCATGAACTCGCATTCATGCGACAAAGCATATGGGGTTTACATAGGGGGGGGTTGGTTAGGTACCAGTGGAACCGTAATCCCCCGAAGCCATCCCTACTTGCCTATGCTCCATGTTTGACATGTTTGCTACGTTTTGCAAGTATGATATGCAGTCGCAAATTGTCGCACATTGGATGCTGGTAGCTTGCTGCATGCCTTTTCCCTGCATGGCGAACAATTGCAGTAGGGGCAACATGAGAAAGGTAATGCCAGGCAGCACGCATCCCAAGCTCAATTGTTTTCGCGAGCTTGGCAAGGTATTTCCACCAGAAGATAGCCGAGATTGCCACACAGTATCGCCGAGTTTTTGCATGGGGTGGATCTATGGGAGGTGCTTGCGCTAAGCAGCGTGCCATGTGTATGTGTTTTTGGAGGTCTTGGAATTAACGGGTAGGTGGCGGCATGAATCTGGCTGAGCCAGTTCGGCATGCCTGAGCTTGCTCATGGTTTGTGTCGTGTGCGCATTGTGCGCTCACTTGGCACTTCCCGTCATCTTTCGGGGCGATGAGCAACATGCTTAGGTTGGTTCAGTCGGTAGATCCCCCCTATGGTCCAGCACGCCCTCGCCGTGGCGTGGGTGTGGGGTCTGGCCTGTTTGTTGAGCTTGGAGGGTGTGTAGTACGCAATGTGTTCCCTTCATTCCTCTGAGTGGTGTGGGGGTGGTGGGGCTCCGGACAGCGGGCCAGACGTGAGGAGAACGGTTAACTAAAAATCTAACAGCCCCACATTGAGGGCAGGGCAAAATGGTGGACCGTGGGGTGGAGGGGGGGCAGGGGGGAGCAGGGAGCGGAGCAGATATACATACCGTATGCGCGTATAAATATGTATATATATATATATACATACATTTTTGGGGGATTTTTTAGACATAGAGGTCAGAGGGAACGGGAGAGACAGAGATGGTCCCCCCACACGTATCTGCCTCACATCCACCAAAGACTGTTCAATGCATCCTAGAGCAAAGGGAAAGTTCCTGACAGGTTTCAAGTTTCAGGCAGTTACCCGTATCTACACGGGAACGATTTCAGCAGTAGATCAGTCGGTCACCATGGATCAAATGGGCAACGAATGCGTGTGATGTGTGCAAGCATGAGCGGCACTCTCCCACGATCTCCTTGACCCACTGCAGGGGGCTGCATTGCATATGTGCGTGTATATAATATACGTCTATGCAGGTTCATATGGGTTTCTTGAGTGCAATCATGGTTTGCAATACATTGCAGCTGCGTCAGTTTCAATCATTCCTTCCGATGGGCTTGGGAAGCCAGTGCTGTAACGCTAAGCAAGGGCTGGCACGACCCTCCCGCTGTTGAAACTTTTGCAGCCTCTGCGACTCTACGTCTTGCATGAGTATATACATAGAGTTGTTGCGGAATGGAGAGGGTCAGGAGTCCAAGTCAATGAGTCAGCAACGTACTGACTTTTTTTGGCAGGAAGCACTTGTTGTGTCTGAACATTTCGGACAGAAGCCGCCAGGTTCTGCTGCACTACTTTTCGCGAGCTTGGCCAACCGAGTGCATGCTTTCAGCCCTCAAGTTGATCTCGCGAGCGCCCCAGACGCGAGACATCTGGCATGCATAGATTAGAAGGCTACATACAGAGTACTACAGAAAATATGTGAAGATATATATATATGTATATATATATGTATATGAAGATGCTAACCCCTACCAAGCTTCACGCCCAAATTCGTTGTTGTTGCTTATTCTAAAGGACCAAGGGCGCATATCTGCTGGGAACTATCCGCACCTCCGCGGCGCCCCTCAGTACCTTCAATGCTAGAGAGGATCCTATTTCCCCCGGTCCCCCCACCCTTTTGAGCAACATCTCAGGGACCATTTCGCGGACTTTATTATTCACGTGGTTGTTTTGTTGAAGCCTTTCTTATGATGGTTTGCCGCAAAGCTTTAGATAAGAAATGCCAGAGTTTCTGTTGTGTTGGCTGATTCGCACGACGACCGCGAATGACTAGCACGCAGTACGACAGCTTTTCATACGTGGAAGACTTCACAGAGAACCCAGTATTCTTCTTTCTTCTTCTGTTGTTACTCTTGCTTCTTTTGATACTGCAAAAGACCATGCTATGCACCACCTCCAGTCTTGTTGAAAGAAAGCCCCATTCTAGAGAACAAATTCACGAAACCTCTACCAATTTGCTTCTTCTATTCACCTCCTCCAATTATCATGCGAGAGCTTCTCCTATGATATGCGCGAGAACACACACACAGACACACTCCCGTCTTGTCTTTGAGAAGAAAGCCCCCCTCTAAAGATAATTTGCATAACCAATCATAACCATGAACCATGAATGCACGAGACTATTTGCGCTTTTCTTCTCTTGATACCACACATGTTTCAAAAGGACACCCCCGATTTTGAGAGCCTCTCACGACAGAACACCCTCGTCGAGAATTCTGTATTCGAGGTTTTCGTAGTGTTTCTGATGAAAACTTCAGATAAGAAGTGTCAGGATTTGCTTTTTTATGATATGGGCAAGAATATGCAGAGCGTCCACTATGTCACTATGCCCTTCCGGTTAACTTTCTCAATTGTGTCAATCGCGCGGACGCATGCAGTCGCGCTGAAATCCCCCAGACAAGCGAAGATGAGTGACCGAGTGAAGACACCCGAAGACGAGCCGCAACGAGCGAATGCACGCGAAGACGAGCGAAAACGAACGAAGACGAGCAAAGATGAAACGACGAGTGAGGCGTCACGTGATTTCGCTCTGCGTCACTCGTCTTCACTCGGCGTCGCTCGGTGCTCGGCGTCAATCGAAGACGAGCAAAGACGAGCGAAGACGAGCGATAGTAATCATGAATGGGAAGTCAAGGCTGAGAGCACTTCGACACTGACACCGCTCTCAGACCAGGTGAGTCAGGTGTGTTACGGTGCGTTTTTGGGGTTAGGGCTAGTATGGTCTAAAGCAAAGTCCGACACCCGACATTTTTGTGAACGCCTACAAAGGGCAAAAATGCAAACAGCCCAAAGGCACGAGACGGGGCAATGTCATAGCTCCCAAAATTACAAACTGGACCGGAGCATGTCCCAGTTCCAACAATGCCAACAATTCCAGAAAGCACCAAAATTCCAAAAAATCCAGAAATTCCAACAAGGTCCGGGCCAACGGTCCGGGGTAGCAGGTTCAGGGGGAAGTAGTATAGGCTATATGTAGAAGAGTCGAGTAATGTTAAACGATTTATGGAACCTAAGCACAGCCAAATCCAAACCGGACGGGACCATGTACCAGGTCCATAATTTCGAAAATCCGAGAATTTCCAAAACGGACGGACCATGCGCCAGGTCCACAAGTTTCACCAACCCCGAAAATTCCACAAATCCGCGGATGGGAGCCAGGGTGCCAACACACTCCAAAATTCATCAAATTCCAAACATTTCTAAAAACTCACCGGAAGTTCCAAAAAGGACCAGGCCTAATTATGGGTCCAGGAAATAGTCCCGTCCTCTTTGGAATTCTCGAAGTTGTTTTGCAAGTGGTACATGGTGCCAGGATTTTCAAAATGTTGAGCATGGCCCCGGTTTGTTGGGAATGATTTTTTTAAATTTTGGAAGTGGGACATGGGGCAGGCTACATCCTTACATGCTATATGGTATCTGGATTATTCGGAATGTGCAGGAAAAACCACTATGTACGAGTAAAATGAAATGAGGTAGGTTCTGGTGGGGTTACCATATATATATATGTATAATCATATATACATATACGTGTGTGTGTGTGTGTGTGTGTGATTGTGTGTGCATATCATGTGCGTGTACTGGTGTGATTGATTGGTCGATGGTGAGTTTACACTCCTTGAAACTCAGGTCTACACATGGCCATCCTTTGCCACTTGCTCAGTCCGTGACAGTTTCCGACAGCGTGTGCAGGCGCGTCCTTGCAACTGCACTGCTTCCTGCTACCGCTTGGAACGTCTGGCCTGCGAGCGGTGCAGGAGTCCGTGAGATCTTGCCGTGGCCATGTGCACGTGCACGTTGGTGCCGAGAATCACACCGACAACCGCCATGCTGCCAAGTCCTCAGTTGCCATCGACCCGATGGTACGGCCGGGCACATGCATTCATATTTGCACATATTTGCACAATCACCAGCTTTACCCATGCGTTCGGGCTGAACTAAGGCAGCGCTGCCTGCTTGCACCAGCATCCATCTCCACGAGACTGCGAACCACAATACCATGAAACATTTAAAGTTGTCAGAAGCTTAGCCGGCGAAGCGTGCGCACATACATGCACCATGCTGAAGTACCCGAAGCATTCCGAAAGCATTCGACTGCAGTGCATGGGCAGCGAGACTCAGACAGCTGCCATCAAAGGCGGCGGAAGCTTCTCCCACTTCTGAAGTTCGAGGCGGCCAGTGTCTTGCGATGTCCAATTGGTACTGGGGGGGGTTTATCTCACATCGCGTGGTGTAAATGCACATCGTTCGGCGTCCACACTGGGGTCTTGCAGGTCCCGCACGGGACCCGGCACTGATCCTGGCCGTCCAGTTTTCAGCCTATGCAGCGTCCACAATGGGGTTTGGCATGCAAACCACCCCATGCCCATGGTCGGAGGAAGCGCCTGCGTCAAATCTCCACATTGGGTTTGCATTTTGGACAAGACTTGGCACTGATCCAAGCTGCCACCACGGCTTCAAGTTTGTTTAAGGCAGTTGGCAGGACGTTTCCGTGCTAGCTGGTCTAATGCACTTTTTCTATATCAAAACCGGTCTCGGTCGCAGGGTTTGGTCCGCCAGACACATGCAGCAGGCAGCAGGCAGGCAGTGTGCACTTGAGCAGCTGCGAGTCTCAGGTGTGTAAGGCCAGTAAAGGCTTCGAAGATCAACTTTCCGTATGTTGATACAATCCAAGCGTCTCCTTCGGGATTCGCTGCCAAAACGTATGCCAGATTGATGTAAAAATGGCCCGAAACAAGCGTCCGCGAGGTTGGGTGGATTTTGAGGTCTCCGTGGCTGACAGCCAAAAATAGCGTCCACGTTGGGGTTTCGCATCTTGTGATGTGTATTCTCTCACGTGATGGGTAATTCTTTGCATGAGCGTCCACATTGGGGTGATGTGTATTTTCACGACCTGATGTGTGATAACCCCTTCCATCGTAAGATTGGGTGATGCCATGTGATGCCCACAGCCCGTGATGTCAATGGACCGCCTCAGGTTGTGGATCTGCTTCTGGAAATTGCAGAAAATCGGCGCTGAACTAGCAGCTCAGAGGCCTCTCAGATGTGTGTGTGTGTGTGTGTGAGAGTGTGTGTGTGTGTGTGTGTCGAATTTATTTGAAAAGCCATCGCTGCACACAGCCGACAGCGCAAAGAAATTGCTACGGTAAGGTGTTTATTGAAATGCTACTCATACCAGTGAAAGGGATCCGCAAGGCAACTTGTGCACGGAGGGAAATAGTCAGGTAGGCCATATACTCCATGCCGAGCACGTCAGGCATGGAGTTCAAGTTCTTTTCCTTGAAGGGTTGGAGGGGCGTGGAGGGGCCAAGTGCTGTTCTCGTACTTGATCAGGGTATTCCCCTTATCCTTACTCTTTTGGTAGAGCCTTCCGCTCTCTTTCAGAGAGGCACGACAACCATCCAAAAGGTGCTGAAAGTCAGGGTAGGCTCGACATGCCCGCAACCTGGACCTGGAAGTCGATGGAACCCCTCCTTCCCCCTTTCCTCTCGCGTACAGTCTACACCCCCCGCCCCCTCACCCTCTGGCCCCTCCTGCCCCCCCTCTCGGACCCCACATCGTGAACCCCCACTGTTCGAGGGTGCTTTTGTTGTGTCTCATACTTGTTGAGGTTTTATAGGTTTTGCATGATTCAGCAACGGCTGCGGTTGACCCATGGCCAAGAACTGCCAGGCCTCTCACTGCTCGCGACAGCCGGACATGCCGGATCCAATTGGGACTACTGCAGGAGAAGATCCTTCAACAGACAATCAGGACTCTCTTTACCTTCGCTGGCCTCCCACTGTGATGGAGTTCCTGAACGTCGTCGTATAGTGATACAGAAGGTTACAGTCAGAAGCCCGAAGATGGAGAAATGGATGATACTGGACACTCGCAGCAATGAATTCCAGGAGCTGTTGCAGGGCTCCAGATGTCATGCGTAGCGCGCGACACACGTCCCATGAACTTTTGCGACTGCACCAAGAGATACCAAGAGAACCCGGGATGCATCGGACTCCAGCCCAGCCGCGCGCTGCCCGTGCCAAACGCATGTACGCCAAGAATGGGCTATCATGGCCCGTCACAGTGCTTCCGGAGTGATCTTTTGCTCCGGTGGAGTTCCACCCCGCTGCTTTTCTCGATTGGCAGGGCCTGAGCACAGCCTCATCAGCCCATCAGTCAGAATGCCTTGAAGAAGGGGCCGTATCCACTGTGAGCGAAGGAAAAATGACACCAAACGATGTAAGGAGCGTTGGATTCTGCGCTGGCTGCAAATGCACAGCAAGGACATGGACTTTAAATGTCTGCGCGCCTTGAGAAACAGCCGGTCGTCGGCGCAAGCGACTTTCACCTGAGCACACCCCCGCAAGGTTCCCAACGACTCCCATCGCACGGAGTGATCTAGACATCCCAAGACCCCAGCACGCGTAGAAGGGCAGCAAAGAACCGCAGCAAGAGCCTCCTATCCTGGGTCAGTCAGGGAGTTTTTGGGTTGGAGTCTCGTGGAGCATTGTCATAGTTAGTGTTGTTCAGGGTTTGCATGGGTTTGGTGTTGAGTACCTTTGTGCCAGCCTACTTGCATTTGGAGAGCCTGTGCATGAACCCTCATGCATCTTCCTGCTCAAGATGAAGAAGACAAGCCATAGTCCCCGAGGGTTTGTCGTTCCTCTTAAAACAGTGGCTCGATTATCACGACCGTTGTGGTTGCTTAGCTGCACATTTGAGCAATGTTGGATGCGCAGCTTCAGGACGCACAGGGCTGACTGGTTCTGAGGCTGACATCTGTCACGTGTCCGCATTGACTATCTAATTCTTCAAGGCGTCGCACTCCAAAAAGGGTGTGCTAAGTTTGTTTGCAGCTTCTGCTTGTACAGGGTTCCGAGCTTCTTAACGGGCACATGGCCAGAGCGCTGTCCATTTCAAGAAGACGACGAAAACCTAGCACCAAGAAGAGAGGCAAGGGCTCTGGAAAGGGCAAGCCTCCAAACAAGGGCAAGGAGCCCCCAAAGAAAAGCAACAGAAGGGCCTAGATAGGGCAGAAGAAGAAGCCAGCTCTTCCCAGGCCCTGGGACAGTCTTCGGCAAGGGGTCGTGGGGTGGTGCAAGTTCCCCACTGAGACGTGGGAATTCAGGTACCAAGAGGCTCCAAAGGTATACTGACTCGGACTGGGCGCAAGACCCCAAAACGCGAAAGAGCATGAGCGGATATGTGGAGATGTTTGGATCCCACATGATCCCACATAATTGAAACAAGCTGTGCTCGGCAAGCCACCGTTGCCTTGTCGAGTGGGGAGGCGGAATTCTACGCTTTGCACGTGGGGTTGCCTCAGGAAGGATGTCTCAACAGATATGGGACATCGTTGGCTACAAGCTTCCGCTCATAGCAAAGACCCCCAGGCCGGGCAAGCTTGCTTCAGAGCACACGAATCCCTTCCAAACCCATGATGCGAGCATTGTGTTTGCAAATGGGGGGGGGGGCTGCGCCCCTCCCACCCCCCCCCCCCAACCGCTCTTTTTAGGCCGGGCAAGCTTGCTTTAGAGCACACGAATCCCTTCCAAACCCATGATGCGAGCATTGTGTTTGCAAATGGGAGAGGGGCTGCGCCCCCCAACCCCCCCACTGGAGTATCGGCACATATTCAAACAGGGTACGACTGTTTTTCCGAACGCACGATGCGGGCGTTGTGTTTGCATACTTGCTCCGCCCCAAAAACAAGGGTTTAGGCTACGTGCAAGGCTGGCCGCAACCCCCCCCCCCCCCGCTTTTTTAGGCCGGGCAAGCTTGCTTCAGACTTTACCAATCCTTTCCAAACCCATGATGCGAGCATTGTGTTTGCAAATGGGGGGGGCTGCCCAACCCGACCGCTCTTTTTTGGCCGGGCAAGCTTGCTTCAGAGCATACGAATCCCTGCCACACCCATGTGCTGCGAGCATTGTGTTTGCACATGGGGGGGGAGGGGGGGCTGCGCCCCCCAAAACCCCCGTTTTTTTAGGCTGTTCCCCAAAACCCTAAACTCTAAACCCTAAGCCCTATAAGCCATAAACCCTATAAACCCTAAACCCTGAGCCGGGCAGGCTTGCTTCAAAGCATACGAATCCCTTTTAATACCCATGATGCGGGCATTGAGCTTGCAAATGGAGGGGCTGCGCCCCTCCCCCCAACCCCCCCCGCTGCCTAAACCCTAGGCCGGGCAAGCTTGCTTCAGAGCATACGAATTCCTTCCAAACGGATTGTGTGTGTCGAAATGTTTGTTACAATGCCTTTTGTTGCGCATCTACAACTTTGTCTGTGAACCCTCTGCGGTGATCGTGTGCGTCGTGGTGCTTTTTACAGTGTGTTTTTGCGCATCCACAACTTCGTCCGTGAGCCCTCTGCGGGGATCGTGCATGTCGACATGCTTTTTACACCGCGTTTTGGCGCATTTGCAACTTCGTCCGTGCACCCTCTGCGAGGATCGTGGGTGTCGAGATGCTTTTGACACTGCGTTTTTGCGCATTCACAACTTCGTCCGTGAACCCTCTGCGCGGATCGTGCGTGTCGTCATGCTTTTTACAATGCATTTTTGTGCGTTTGCAACTTCGTCCGTGCACCCTCTACGCGGATCGCGCGTGTGCAGCTTTTGCTAGCCGCCGACCCATGTTTCCTGTCTTTCCTTTGTTGTGTTTGAAAATGACCCCTTTGATGAACTTTGTTGTGTTTGAAAATGACCCCTTTCTTGTGTTTGAAAATGAGCCCTTACCCCTCGTTGCAGGTCACAAACTTCCTCAAACGGTGCTCTTCATTCACTTCGAAAACCGAAGTCCATGCCGTGCACATGAGGAACACGACCATGGTTGCTTTCAGCCACAAGTACTTGCCTGCAGCTTCTCGGAACGTCCTCCTGTACTCGATCATGCGTTGTTCCGTTGTGCGCAAGCCACAGGGGCAGCACACAGCACATGGAGTCACTCTGTTCACCACGGTGCCATTCCTGAGTCCGTGACAACTTCGCATCACGTGGGTTCTTGCTCCATGGGGTGCGTAGAAGAATGTAGAAGAGCTCCGGGACGAACTCTTCCGCTGCAACCACTCTTTCCACTTCTTCCTGTCTCGCAAGCGCATTAGCAAGAAAGCCACAGCCAAGGAAACCATGGCGAGTACTACCTTCCATTGCTCGGTTAGCATCATCGCACCCACGAGGTCTGAATCCGGGTGCTCCGCTACCATGTTCGAAATAGCGGCTTCTTTAGCATCTTTAGCCACTCTTCCACACATGGTTCCCAAGCGTTTCTTTTTCACTTTCGCGGGCTGACTGCTTAAGCCTGAGTGTTGCGGTCGTACGTGACTTTGTCATGCTTTCCTGCATTCCACGTCTACTTTCCTATACAGTACTTGTGTACGTACGTGCATTTAGTTACAGTCGAACAAGTAGGCGGCTGCTGCAGAGGGATCGTGGGCAGGTCCGGCTTTGGGGGATGTATGGAAGACGTAGCTGACGAGGTGGCTGAAGTCGCAGAGCCGCAAAAAGTGCTCTGTCGGTTGCATTGGGGTCCTCTCTCTCTCTCTCTGTCTTTCTCTCTCTCTCTCTCGCTCTCTCTCTCTCCCTCTCCCTCTCTCTCTCTTCCTTCCTTCCTTCCTTCCTTCCTTCGGGTACGAGGTCGCGCTGGGCGAACCCGGGCCTTCGCTCCCCCCTTCCCTCTTTGGATGTATTCTGAGTCAGGCTGCTCGATCATGGCTCAAACTTCAGAGTGTTGCAAGACTTGAGACCCGAAGTTCCGAATGTAACTTGGGCTTAATGTCCAGGATGTCTGTGTAATCATCTGCGCGCGACGACCCTGTGCAGCAAAGTTTGTGGACCCGACATTGGGGACACGTTGTGCAGTATCAAAGCACGTAATGTGTCTACCATGGAGCTACAGCATAGCGGGCATAGTATCATATACGGATATGAATATGAATATGAATATGAATATGAATATGAATATGAATATGAATATGAATATGTTGCAACGCATGCGGCCAGTCGCCGGTGCCATGCTCCATGCGCTCCTGGGCGAAAGA